CCCAAGCATATTGTCTCATTTTAGCATCTGGATATCCACATGAAGCACATCTTTGTTTTTGTAAATGCCATGATCTTTTTCCGCATCTTTTGCAAAGAATGTGAGTTTTATTGTGTCTAGTACCTCTGCAGCTAGTTCCCTTAGTCATGCCTTTGGCAATAAAGTTCAGTTCAGGGTTTTACTCTTTCTTTTATAAACTATAATTCTATTGTTCTCATATATTATCTTTTTATTATACTCAATTAAGTATGTTATTTTCATTCTAAAGGATAATATGGTAATATCCTGATTTTATAGGTAAAAAGACTAGAAGTGTAATTGTGTGAAAGAAAAGAAAGAAAAACAAAAAAGGAAATTAATAAAATAATTTTTAGGGTTTAAAGAAACTATAGAATAGAGCATCTATGTCAAAGTGTAGACTCCACGTTAATGCTGTTTTCATGGGATTTCAACGTGCCCAAAGAAATCAATACCCAAATGTTGCTCTTCTTCAAATTAGTGGAGTAAATACAAAAGAAGATACTCCATTCTATATTGGAAAACGTGTTGCTTATGTTTACAAAGTTAATGTAAAGAAAGGAAGTAATAAACCAGCTATTCGTGCTATCTTTGGTAAAATTGTTGCACCACATGGAAATCATGGAGTTGTTAAAGCTAGATTCTTACATAACCTTCCACCAAAAGCAATGGGACAAAACCTTAAAGTTTTCCTTTATCCATCTAACATCTAATTGTGGTGATTATTTGATGTTGTACTTCATGTTGATTTGTTTTATTCTTTATATTATTGTATCATCTTCATTTTGTTATATAAAAAAAATATAATAACATATTTCTTATTTTGATATAAAAAGTAATTTTATGTTATTCTATAATCATAAAATCTGACTTTTGTTTTTTTTTGAGTAATTAAATTCGTTTTATTTAACTACTTCGATAAAACCCGATAAATAAGGTTAACTCAATGAAACCCATTACAAAGAGAAAAGGAGAAAAACGAGAACTGATTAACTTGAAATTGACAAAAATGGGAGCAATTCTTTCTTTATTCCAAGGAGGAGAAAAAGGGGAAAAGATTATTATTGACTTTGAGAATGTTGTCCCTTCACCTGAAGAACAAGAATTA